TTTCTCAAAGTAAATAAATCATTATCATTATTCAATCTCTACTCATTTTTTATTATCATTTTAGTTCAGATTCATATCTATCTTTAATTATCATTAAAGTGCTCGTTAATGCTAAATTGTGCTATTAAGTAACTGTTTGCTCTGCTTAAATGTCTTCTCTTACCGAAATTTATGCTGCAAAAATTACTGCATTGTTTTGACATCAATTTTTGCTCAAAGCATTGTCTAATCTTTTTTGATATATTATTGACTTAAATAAAAATAATATTTACTATTCGTATTTCTTTTATCTTTAGCTTACACATTGTTGTTGCATGAGAACAACACTTATGCATATTATGAATATTAGAGTACAATTAATTCTTATTTAATCAATAAATATAGTACCTTGTAGTGGTAATTTTGACAGGGAATACTTTATAACACAAGTATTGCTACATATGTTAGACTATGAAATGGTAAAGAAAATAAGGTTGAGATTCCGACAATCCTTGTTTTAAATTTTATTTGAATAAAACTTCTGAGGAAGTTCATGGTTAAGAGAAGAAGTGGACTCAAGTGTTTTTTTCTGAAAGAGCGCAATTTTACTTTGGAAATTTATAATTTGTTACAAAATACGTCATGTTCAGAAGTTAAAGATTTACTGCTTTCATGAATTATGTTTCCTGGTCTATCACAAATTCATCGACATTTATTTTCATGTCGAGAAATTTTATAATTTTTGCATTAAATAACAGGTTCAAATCACTGTACATCTACTGAGTGGTTTTTGAGCCAATGAATATTTATCATCATCACGATGATTCTTTCGATTCAGCCCAATCAAGTGGTGAGTCTTCTCGCAAAAATTCCAGTCGTCTCAGCGAATTTCGTCAATTTGTGAAACGGAAGACAAGTATTGGAAAGGTACGGAACAAAATATAATTATGAGTTAATAGACTGCATTGCTCTGATATATTTACTATTAATTCTGTTGAAAGTGAAAAGCTTGTTTTCAGATGTCACCTTATAAACAGTTGGCTCGATCATTACCTAATGAATCTGTCCGTGGACGAAAATACTCTACTGATAGTCAATTTTTTGACATGGATGAATCCGATGAAGAACGTGGTGGTACCACAACCACAGCACGACGTCATTTTAGCGTTCCTGAAAAGGTTTCGTTTTGTAATTCCATGCTATAAATTAATCAGTATTTTTCATTATGAATTATTATTATTTAGAAGTCTTAGTGTACCATTTATGAATATATCTAAAACGAAATCAATTTTTTTAAGCTTAGTTTTTCAGTTTCTTCTGAAATTTGAGTTGTTTATTCAGCTTTGATTAATTGTTCATTTATTACTTCCTAAACTTTTTTAATGCCTATTTTTTGACACTAAACGTAGTTATTAATTTAGTACAGTTAATATTACATAAGTACCCAGTATGCACTGAATTTGAATTTTTTCTTCTAGTCACTGCAGTCTTTTCCTGATTTTAATGAAAATCAAAATCCTACAAGTAAAAATAACAAATGAAGCTGCTTGTCGATGCTTAATTAGAAGGAAAAGTGGACTGATTAGTTTATTCAATTTGTAATTGCTCAGTATAAGCTTTGACAATTGCGACGTTCTTCTGTGAAGTTTTGTTATTTAGTTTGTTTAAAAAATTTCTTGTATAAAAGTAGAAAAAACAGACAAATACTTTACTCAAGTGTTTTTTTAATGTATTTTTACAACCTAAAGTGCAGTGATCGAACTACTGGTTTATTTTCTCAAAAACATTTAGATAATAATTTATTCAAGACTAATTCTAGGATTATGCAATAATGCGACAATCCCGAGAACGTCATTTGGAAGTTGTGACTGCATTTGGTTTGCTACTTTATTGTTTGCTTGCAATAACAGTAACAGTAATAAGAAAATATACTACTTTGCATATTTTTTATATTTGTTTATTAAAAAATTTTTGCATTGAAAAGGCAGAAAGCATTTTTATTACTATTATTTTATGTTTAAAGTTAATAACTTTTTCATGCTCATTTTTCAATTAAAAAAATGAAATTATTTGTAAATTTCTAGTAAATTTTGCATAGATAGGTACATGGACCCTTATAAACAGTACATGCAATCGTTGTTATGCTATGATTTAGCACCAGTTCATGGGTCAGCTTTGCTTCTATACGGTGACCTATCAGTAGGTTTATTCCATCTTTCATGACGTTGAATTTGAAAATTCCTTATTACATTACGATGAGGATTCAGTTTTATAGTAATTCAATACGTACTCAAACAATCAAAGTTTGAGTACGTATTGAATTTATTGGTCGTAGTCGAATTCCAAACTTTGTCAATTACGTCTATGCAAAAGTGGAGGAAATGAATTTTTAATTTTTGTCATTATTCATCGCATTCAGTGACTACTAACTGTAATTACATTATTTGAATTCCAAACCACTTTCTCGTGAAATATTCTGGTTACAAATGTTACTTGGCAAATTTGAGCTGTAAATTTTATTTGTGATATATCTTTTAAAATCATGAAAACTTTCAAGTTTATTTGCTAGATTTCTAGTTGCCAACTCTACTGCTACAGCGCGATTCAGTTGATCAGCAATTAGGTTCTTAATTTAATAAATCTATGAATTAATCAAAACTAATCGACAAACTGCATGAAATAATCTGTGAAATGATTACAGATGCGCAAATCACTGTTAGCTCTTTATCATTCTGGTCATGAAGCAGCCGTGATAATCAATCCATCTAACAATGCGCCGGAAGGAATGTTAACTGTAACTGATTGTCTCCGCGCCGTGATGGTTTCGCTGAACGTTGATCCTAATATTGGTGAATGTCCGGTCCGCAACTTCATCAGATCGTACGGGAAGAAGAAACTTATCACTGGAACTGTTAACATGTCGTTAGTTTCTCATTTTTGTGCTTTGAAAAATTTTTCATTCAATGACAAGCAAGAAGATAAATCGGAACGAACATGCTGCATAAATTTTTAGATAATTATTATTACTGAAAGCAAGAGAAATGCTGATTGATCTCTTTGAGTTACTGCTTATTTTTCAATCTAAACAGCTTTTTCTCTGAGTAAATAATGCTTGTTTTGATATTCTCTTTTACATATATGATTTCCTTTTTCACATACTTTTTTATTTCGTCAATATTTGATTCTTAGTGTCTGGAATGCTGGAAGATTGTTTTGCCTCAACCATGTCCATCGGATACCGATATTTCAAACCGATGAAAGTGACCTACTGATTGAAATTCTTTATCTGTTGTCTTTACGGCGTGTTTTCTGTGAAGCAATCATCAAATTAGTAATTGGTTTTAGCAAGTTTTTGCCACAAAATTTTTCATTACTTTTAAAAATTTTCTTGCCAAAAACTGATCGTACTTTTTAATTCCAACATTGCAACAACCTTTTTAGAATAACTCTAAAAGTTAAAATATCTAAATGTCAATCTAAAAAAGTTAAGTACAACTTGTACTTTTGATGCTTTTGAAAAAATTTTCAACCCATGAAGAAATTTTCGTTCCAGGTTGAGCCAACGGCTGTATTGGCTCCTCACGTGAAGCATCGAACTTTGTATGATTCAGGTGTTGGTACCTGGAATAGTATTGTTACGGTTAGATACTTGAAAATTTTTTCTGTCTTTTTTAAATAAGCTTCCTTTTTTGCTTACATATAAAAAGCGATCCTTTAAATGTTTACGTATGCTAGAATCTTTTGCAAAGTCTTGATTTCTATAGATTGAAAGATTCAGATTTCAAGCGATGCATCCTGTGGAGAAGCGATTAATGAACTACTTGACAAGAAATTATCTTGTATTGCTGTAGTTAATGAATATAATATGATTCTTGGGAAAATCAGTAAAAATGACATCATGTATGAACTTGTTAAGCATCCTAAAAATTACTTGGAAATTATCGACATACCTGTAAAGGTGACGACTTTTTTAATTTGTTTCTTCTGATTCCAAAATTGAAATGCTTAAAGTTTCATTCTTCTTTCTAATACATGTTCTTCAATTTTTACAAAATCATAATTTAAAAAGCGACATCGTATAATTATTCAAGTCTTTAAAGTCCAAAGTTACAACATTTTGCATTTCGATAAGAGGTAACGACATTTTATTAGCATAAACTGCAACATTTAGAATAAAGTTACAGAACAGTTTGCAGGATGTATACCGAGTTCCACCTCTTGGTCGTCCAACTAATACAGTATATGAAAGTATTATTCTTTTGCTATCAACGGATGATCAGTGCTTATTTATTGTTGATTGTAATCAGCGTGTTATGGGCACTGTTTCATTTATCGATATTATGAACTACATCTTAAAATCAAGCGATCGTAATCACAAATCAAGTGGGTTTATATGAAAAATGGCGCATGGATTCACGACTTACGCGTGTGACTTTAGCGTTTGTGAACGTGTATAAATATGCAAACCTTATTTTGGTCCAGTATAAGAATAGAAACTATCAGAAATTACAATATGGTTTGGTACTTATTTAGATCAAGTAATTTTCCTCTGAGAATCTCTTCAACTTGGAATCAATTATTGTTGCGATCTGTTGAATTATTTAAATTCTGCGAACACAGTTGTGAAAGAAATTACTTATAGTGAAGGAAATTACTTTGAAAGAAAATTAACTAAGAGAATTACTTCATAGTAAAACTTTTCTATAGTTCATTCATACTGGTTCACGATAACCTCCCGCAATTTTATCAGTAACATCCATTTGAAAAGAGAATTTGCTTGCGTGAATTCCCAACCTCGATCTATTTGTTCTTTTTCAGGTCTTGTAATTCACTACTGTCCTATTTACATTCTTGTTGTTTCTTTCGTTCTGTTAATTTTCAGTTTTCATTAAAAGCTCAAAATAATATCCGTACATTACCTATTCTGTAATTCATTTCAACAATACGTGTATGCCTTTTAAAATATTCCTTTTCAATTTATGGGTCAGTTGGATGATTACATACTCACAAAACATTGCTTACGTTTATAGTTGTCATTGTTTGAAATAAGAATAATAAATGTAGAAATTTATATAAGCCTACGCATATAAAATAGAATAATGAGAAATTTTGTCCGCTACTTTGCATGTGAACGCATTTCCCGACGAAACAATTTCCTAGAAAAACAATACAAGACAAGCAAGCATACATAACCGTCCAGCAAAAAATCCAAACTCGTACTCATTCCTCTCTTGTGGACACTTCAGGAATGCTCGAACGAACTGTCTTCTGTAAAGATTTTTCAATCAGAATTCTTCGCCTAATTGGGAGATGCAGGCTCAAAGTAGTGATCTAGATTGTTTCATTGAGAAAACACAGATAATGTTCACTACATGTAGGATTTCATATGTTCCTGATAAGAGAGAATGTGATCTAGAACATATTTATGAGACTCTGCTTTTCAACAAAACGTATCTTAAAGACCAGTCCACCGCACTGTACCTGTAATTTAATTCTCTTCTTTTAAATTCCAACCAATCACCTTTCCCGGTTTGGGTTCAGATTCGATTTGCTATAATCCTTTCCAAAATTTCCGACTAAAATTTTTGTCGGTAATGTTTTCAAGAAACTGCTTGAAGCGTCGCAGTGAATTGCTAGATCAAGAGAGCTGTGGTCAGCAAATTCATGAACACTAATGAATCCTCTCGCTTCAAACAGCGATTCTGTAACTCCGCGGTCGAGGGTAAGATAAGTATACTTAGACTGACATCTATTACTGGTAAAGGCCTTACTTTAAGTATGATTGTTTTAAACAGTGGTTCTGCCACTTTTAGTGATGAGCGAGGCATTTGCAGCGTAATATACTCTATTTTGAGGTTGCATTTAAGAGTAAGACGTTATTTGTAAAAATGAATGGAATTAAGGAAAAGAGATTGAAGATTCAGTTTTGCTTCTGTTCAAAAGCAAGCTTACTCTTGACCAAAAATATATTCTGAAACATTGGTAAATTTAAGTAGTCTGTGGATGGTTTAAAATATAGACAGTGAATTCCTTGTTTTATTGAAGATTTGCAAATTAAAGAATGGTGACTTTACAGAAGTGTGAGGTGAATTGAGTTAGTTCTAGAACAATAAATGACCAGGAATGACAAGTTTCAACAAGGCAGTAAAAGTTTCAGATTGATGCTCTATCGCGAGACGATTTGGTTTGTTTTGTTAAGAAACAAATAGAAAAGTTGAAAAGTGTCAAAACTGAAAATGAAAAGCTCAGAACGGAACTGGCAGAAATTGGAAAGAACCTATCTGTATGTTAAAGCTTTCTCAAATACTTTGTCACTTTCCTCCTGCGACAAACTGCTTCTCTGCTGCATTTTTGTTTTCCTTTATTGCGTATGTTCTTGGGATAACAGTTTATAATATGAAATTCTAATTCTATATTAGCTTTTCACATTCTCAGTTTGATCCGGTAAAAGCCTCCTCCACTATTTATTACTACTAATCATATGTATGTTCCTTTCATGCTTATTTCTCTCTGTAAAATTTTGGAAAAATATTGATCTATTATTATGATTTGTATTAGGTATGTGAACAAAAGTGTAGTGATGTTCAAAAAGAAAATTTCGAAAAAAACGAAGAAGTTAAGCTATTGAATGAAGTGAGTTTTAAGTTTTTTAACTTTTGAAAATAAAGGGATTCAAATACAGCAAAATATTACACTGTTTTACTGCAGTGAAAAGCTTAGAACGCAAATGGCAGAAGTATATAATTAAATTTGTTAATTAATCATGTATGTAACTGATTTTAAAATAGGTTTGTTCCAAGGTTTGTTTTGGTTATGTCTGTAATGCTTTTTTGGTATGTACTTAAAAGTCATGACTGAATACATAAATGACCGTATTCTTAATATTTTGCCAGATGAAAGTTATTTAAAATCAGTTTTTTTTTAGAGCGATCATTCAGAGTATATAAAACAATAACTTGATAGCTTATTATTTTCCAGAAATGTGAAAATCTAAATTTGAAGTGTGCGAAGTTGACACTGCACCTTGAAAAGTTGCAGATATGTCAGGTAGAGCTTCAGTATTTCATATCAAGCTTTAACACAGTATTAAAGTAAGGTTTTTTTTTTTTTAATTAAAGATATGACTTTTCAATATTAAGAGAAAAGACAAAGTGTGAAAATGAAGTTTTGTCAAAATACTACATTTGATGCCGTTCAGAGTGCAAATCAGGCAAGTATTCCAAGTGAATGTGTTCTCTCAGACAGTGAAAACGAAACCATTATGAACATTGCACAGTTGCAGAATGAATTAACTTCTGTAAAGAATATGCTGCAAGAACAGTCAAAAAAATACGAAAAAGTATGTTTCTTAAAAAGATCCGGAAATGTATATTATTCATTTTTCTTCTTAAAAATCTATGACAGAAGTAGGATTGCATGAATTATTAGGTTTTCTAGCAAGTGAATGAAAATGAGCGTCTAATCTATACACTAGCTGAATTGCGTTCTCTGTTTGATGATCAACAAGCGCAGCTTGAATCTTATAAAGAGGTCAGTTTTCCTTTTATATATTTCTTTTTAGTTTATTTTACTTAGTTTTAATGTATTGTACTTAGAGGTTTAACATGTGTTAAGAAGTTCTATATTTCTGGGATGCAGAAACGAAGTGTAGAGAACGTTATCTCACTTGAAATGGCTGATTTTGAAAAAACGATTGAAAGACTGCAGAAGGAACTTAAAGCAGTCAAAAATGAAAAACAGGAATTAGATACTAAACTCAGTTCAGTGACTAAAGAAATGGAGATCTTGTATGAAGAAAAAGCTTCTCTTAGCAGTAATATCATGAAGTTTGAGGATGCTTTAGGTAAAGCAAGAAATGAACTCGAAGGCGAGTTAGTTTTATCTAATCTATGTAAAATTTATTTGAAATGGCTGCAGTTGTAGTTTGAAATAGGTATGTTATGTATTATGTTTCTTATTCTGATATTCGAGGATATGAAAGGTTCATACTTTTTATTTTATATATCTATTTTTATGTCTGTCAACTTGTAGTATGAAAACAAAAAAAGTTGAAAGTTCAACTGTATTTAGTTTCATATTTGATCTAGTTATATATAAGGTAGACACTGAAATTTCCCATAGTAGTGTGTTATTTGAAAAGAAACTGAGAAAGATATGTATTCTCAGTGAAAACAACTTTTTGCTATGGTTTTCCTATCTCACTTTAGAAAAAGAAACAGAAATCGATTTACGTGACAAAGAGCAAAAACGCCTGGAAGGGCAACTAAAGGATCAAGTTTCTGCTCGAAGTGAAGAACGCGATCAGCTGATGATAGTTATTAGTAACAATGAAAAAAATATTAAGGATTTGCAAACTTCTAATTCTTCCTTGAATCGACAGTTAATATCACTTCGTTCTCAACATGAGTCATTACAAAAACAACTTGATGACCTCTCCCAAGAATATTCAACATTTAAAGTGAGAATAATAACTTTATTTGGCCACTAAATTTATAGCAGTGAAACTATTATTCTGCAGGTGCGTGCGCATTATGTGTTAGAACAAAGAAAGAGTGAAGCAGATCAGCGTGGAGAGGGTGAAATGGAGATATTAGAGGGAACTATCCGGGAACAAAAGAAGACAATTGAGAATTTGGTGTAAGCTTTTCGTCAAGATTACCTTCTTTAAGGTTTGGGCAGTTACTTCTCGAGATTTACATTTTGTTAAAATTACTACATTTTATTAATAACGTGTACCGCAAATCCTTCTAGTTTTAAATGTAAAATTAGAATAGTTTTGTTTTCAGAAATTCTACTCTTAATTTACAAGGTGAACTTGATTCTTCTTCTCAACATGTCATAACATTAGCGACAGAAGTAACTAATTTACAGAGACAGTTGGATACCGTCATCGAATCACACCGTAAAGAGTAGTCTGATTTTTCTTGTTATTTTTCCCATGTTCAAAGGTTTTCGAAGTAATAGATGAGGGTTTTAGTTAAAATCAAAACTGGATCAATTACTTCCTTGAAGTCATTATAATAAATGCTATACAAGTCCATTATTTGAGATCACAATTTCAGATTAGCTGAGCAGTCTCGAGAATTCGAATCGCGTTCTGCCTCTGCAACCAAACTGAATAGTGAACTAATAATGCAGCTTGAGGCAAATTCGGCTGCACATGTTCAAGAAAAAAAAAATTTGTTAATAACTGCACGTCAGGAACGTGAGAGTTTACAGGAAGAATTGGAGCGCTTGCACCATGCTTTAGATGAAGAAGTGAAGCGACGCACTGATATGGAAAAGATTCAAGCAACGATGACTGCACAAAATGTTGCAATACAAATACAAAAACCTGTCACTGAAACTCCACTTCTTAGGTCTGGATTATAAACGTCACTAGTCTATAGAAATTTTAGTCATAAAAGTTTTGATTAGTAGTTTGATTTTTGTGAAGCATACAGTGATTCTCTTATAGTAAGGGTTGAAGAATATTTTAATGATCTTTTATAAATTTCATAAGACTGAAATTTTCGGTTGATTTGGAGACTTTTATAGTTCTTACT